TAAGTAGAAAAATATGAAAAATAGGCAAAAAACTGAGGAAAAAGATAAATAGAATCCTTGGCCAAAGAGAGGTGCAACTTCGTTTTTCTAACATATAGCTTATAATATATGGATTTTTAAGCACAACAATATCTAATAGCTATGAGAAATGTAGCATAGATAATATATCTTTCAACCATAACTAAATTTTAGAATATTGAAATCAAAACAATACATTGTATTAATGAAGTTTTAAAATATTGGAAACATTCAAACTTTAAACTAATATGAGCATCTCTATAGATGAATCTTTAATTTCGACATAATTAAGTTTCCTTCTTTATTTCGATGAACTTGTAATAAACTGATGTGAACATCTCTTTATAATGACCTCTTCCAGAACTCAGGGATGACCTCAAAGGAGGATTACCACCATGGCCCATTCCAGGACTATGGAACGATTTCAACTTGCGATCAACATTGCTAGTTTCAAGTCTAGGGACTGTTATAACATGATGTTTTTTCAATTGTTTTTGTGCTTCAAAACATGGTGCAAGACAGACTAACTATACATCCTCCGTCCAATAATAGCCAAAGCATTAATTATACTCATTTTCTTATTAATTGTTAAAATATACATCCTCCGTCCAATAATAGTTGTCCACTATACTATTGGGATGTCCAACAATACTTGTTCACTTTATAAAATCAATGGATAATTTTACAATTAGTTCCTAATTTAGCCTTATCATTAATTATACTAATTTCCATATTACATTTTTCAAGATTTTCTATTTATTATATTCAAGTGGTGATATGGTAAAATTACCCTTTTATTTATAATTTTATTGGGGATATGCCAAATCAATAATGGACAACTATTTTGGATAGAAGAATATAAGAAATGAAATGAAGAGAGGTGTGAGATTATTAAGAAAATAATAAGGTATTTATAGGCAACAAATTATAGATTAAAATGTTTGAGAGATGTATCTTGAAGTGTAACGCTCAAACTAGGTCAATAGTAATAATTGAAATGGTAAGAAAATAGAAGTGTCTTGGAAATTGTGTAGGTACACATAAAAATGTCAATTTGTCTTGGGAATTGCTTGTTTACTTTAAATTAGAGAATTTGGCATCGCTTCGTGTAGTTATGAAAAATATATATATTTTAAAAATTAAACATGATACAAGAAATAAAAAATCAACTATAGAAATAAGAAAATGATAAAATCACAATACAAATATTTTGTAGAACTAGAGCAATTATATTTTTATTATCAAATATTTTTTAAAATTAAAAGGATAATTTATTCAGATTTTTTATATATATTATAATGTTAATAGATATAATTCGACTAAACATATTTAAGGACTTTATTTTTTTCTCATTTTTATTAATTGATAAATGTATTGTTTGATGAATCTTCCTTTTAATAAAAAAAAGTGATGAAACTAAAAAATAGGAGGAAAAAGATATAAGTATTTCTATTTCATTTCTTTTTTTTATATTTAATTCTTTCATTGTCCTTGTTTTTTCTCTTATTTTTCTTCATCGTCTAAATAAATATTTTCCTCTTATTTTTCATCATCATCTAAAGAACAAATTATAAGAAATTGTGAATGGTTCTTCACCATAAGAAACACTTAAGAACAACGTATTTCAATATTTAATACGCATTTTTTTTTACCATTAGTAGTAAAATTTAAATTTATGTTGTCTTAGTTAGATGTGTTCTGACAAAGTTACAAATAACTAATTTGATCCTAAATGAAAATGTAATTTACTACAATTAAAAAAGTTATAAGAACCTAAATTCAAAAAACAATAAAAATCTCGAACATATGAAAAAAAAAGTAAGTAAAAAGAGAAAAATAACAATACATTTTTGTAAAGTCCTTAGTCACAAAAAGAAAGATGAAAAAAATTACATAATCAATGAACATATTTTTGAACTTTTATTCAGCTCCCATTTTATCCACATCTAAGAGCCTTTTCATGGAGTCAAACTAAAATAGAAATATGATACTACAACCATAATATAGAATATCACTATTTTAAATATGAAATAAAAATAATAATCTTGAGTAGAAATATTATGAAACAAAAAATATGAATTTATATAGACAAAATTGAAGTAATATCATAAGGTATCTTAAATTTTGAAATTATATAGTTGGGGGTTATGAATATGAAAATTTAAAGAAAATGAGTTAATTATTAATTAAAGTTGAAGTTCAATAGGTATAGTTTATGGAGGTAAATTTTTTAAAATAAATAAAAGAAGGAAAAAATAAAATAATGAAGAGAAAAAAAACTTATGAACTATTCAATGTTTGTTGGGTGTTTAAGTTTTATTAGGAAAGCAAGCAAATCAACTTCATCTTAACAAAATTGAAAGAGGAAAAAAAATACAAGCAATATCTTGAAAGGTTGAAGTAGTAAATATTGAGACTTTTTTTTTTTTTTTTTGTAATAAAGGATAATAATGAGAGCATATAATTTTTGAGACATTTAAGTATAACAATATTTAGAAGAGTAGTAATTGATATATTTATTTTTTGTACAATAATAAGTAAGTAGAAAAATATGTTTGTCAAAAAATTGAGGGAAAAAATAAATAGAATTCTTGGCCAAAGAGAGGAACAACTTCACTTTTCTAACATATAGTTTATAATATATAGATTTTTAAGCACAGCAATATCTAATAGCTATGAAAAATGTACCATAGACAATATATCTTTCAACCATAGCAAAATTTTAGAATATTGAAATCAAAACAATACATTACATTAATGAATTTTTAATATATTGGAAACATTCAAACTTTATACTAATATGACCATCTCTCTTGATGAATCTTTAATTTCAACATAATTAAGCTTCTTTCTTCATTTTGATGAACTTGTACTAAACTAATGTGAACATCTCTTCGTAATGAATTTTTGAAGAATATATCTTTGATCTTCATCAAAGTGAAGGACATATCATGTCGCTATCTTTTCTATGATTTCTTATGGAAAAGATGAAGAATAAAATTTATAAAAAAGAGAGAAAAAAAACTATGCTAATAGAAAAAAAAATGAAAAATAAATATTCAACATCTGCATGGATGATTGTTACTAATAGATTTGATAAGAAAGGAGTTGAAAAGGCATGTTATTTAAGTAGAGAAAATATAAATAGATGGAGGTTTTTTGTAACTCATCAAATATAATTAGAATAGTAAATATGATTGAATTTCTTATTGGGAAAAATTGTATAAAATAGCAAACTATTAATTCAAATTAAATGCCATAACCACAGTTTCATTTAATTCTAATCCGTAGCAAACACTTTTTCATTCGCCTCTCTCCCCAGAAATCTCCCTCGCCACTCTCCCTCACCTCTCTCACTTTATACAAACACAAATGTATAAATTGTGTTTGTGTTTGTATAAACCGAGAGAAAACTATATATACAAATACATATCTCTTCGTTCTATACACTTGTAATTATACAATACAAATCTTTCTCTGCCCAGTTCTCTTTTTCCTTGCTCTCTTTCTTGTTTTATACAAACACAAATTATACAAAATACAATGTATAATTTGTGTTTGTATAAAGCAAGAGAGAGATTTGATATACAAATACAATTGTTTTAACTCGATTCAATTGTATGTGAATTCAAGTTTTATGCAGATATACAAACACAAAGACCATATGCATATACAAACACAATTTTCATAGACACAGACGCCTTATTTATACAAATCGATGTGATTTATACAAATCAGATGCCAACAATTTTATACAAATCAAAGATGTCTGCTATTTTTTAACAGATTTGATGTTTCATAGCAAACAATGTTTGCTATGGAGCGCAAATAGCAAAACCGTAGCTATAGAACGTTAATATGATTTTTATGTTTGCTAAACCTAAAACTTACTCTTTCTTTTTTAATAAAGAAAATATTTTATGAAAAAAATAAGTCTGAATGGAAGCCACAGAGAGGTGTCACATCACATCATCTATGTTTCTCCTTTATATTATATATAGATTGAGAAAAATGTCATAAATAGTTTCTTATCTAACTCCGCCCAATAATATATATTCAATTTATAAAATTGATGAATAATTAATTATATTGTGTTTATTTAACCTTTGCTATTAGATACTATTCATTTTTAAAAAATATTTTGATGATTTATATTTAATAGGGGTGATTTGCTAAAATTACCGCTATTATTTACTACTTCTTAGTCCCGGTGTCAAAACAGAGGGGGTAGAAATACGTCCAAAACGAAACCTTAAATATAAACTTGTTGGATTTAGTTCTTTAAGTATTTAAAAATTTATCAAGTTTGGTCTTTATTCATTTTTTTTATACTTAGGCTTATATTATTAAAAAATTCACCCGTTAGTGAATTTAAATATTTTAATTCATTTTTTCAGTTTCTTAATTGAAGATTTAATGTAATTTTGAGTGTGATATAGGTAGGATTTCTCCCACATATATAAGATAATTTTAATTGCTTGGTTTGAAGCACAGATTAATTACTTTCACTACAACTTCAAATTTAGGACGACACCTTCCTGTGAATTTAGGTGATTAGGATACTGGTGTATCCGGTGCGGAGGAAAACAATTTCTATCAGATTTTTTAAAAAATAAAATAATAAACTTTTCTTGAATTGTTAAAAATTGAAATTTTGTTGTTAATATTGTTTTAAATAATAAAAAGATCAATTTTACTGATTGAAAAAACAAATGCTCCACTTAGCATTTCAGATTATCCTTAACTAAGTCAAATAAATTATTAGCATTTTATATGTATACTACTACTTACAACGTTTAGTTGAGACCTTTGGAATATTTAGTCATTGCAAAAAATAATAACTAGAAGTACATGTTGATCAAAATATATCATTAATTCATAAATGATCATATATGTCCATGAACATACTGTCACATAATATTGTACTTAAAATATTGCAACCTACTGCAAAATCAAAAGTTGCACATTTACTAATTGAACGATCATTGACCAATATCATGACTCGAGACTGACATAAACCTACGATCAACATGGCCCATTCCAGGACCAAGTGGGCCAGAATGGTCGGCACCAAGACTAGGGCCAGGATTCAAGTTGCCATAAACATGGCTCATTCTAGGACCAGGTGGGCCAGAATGACCGGCTCTAGGACTAGGGCAAGGATTCAAGTTGCCATAAACATGACCCATTCCAGGACCAGGTGGGCTAGAATGGCCGGCTCCAGGACTAGGGCCAGGATTCAAGTTGCCATAAACATGGCCCATTCCAGGACCAGGTGGGACAGAATGACCGGCTCCAGGACTAAGGCCAGGATTCAAGTTGCCATAAACATGGCCCATTCCAGGACCAGGTGGGACAGAATGACCGGCTCCAGGACTAAGGCCAGGATTCTGCCAATTCCAGGACCAGGTGGGCCAGAATGACCGGTTCCAGGACTAGGGCCAGGATTCAAGTTGCCATAAATTAACATGGCCCATTGTAGGACCAAGTGGGCCAGAATGGCCGGCTCCAGGACTACGGCTAGGATTCAAGTTGCCATAAACGTGGCCCATTCCAGGACCAGGTGGACCAGAATGGCCGGCTCCAGGACTAGGGCCAGGATTCAAGTTGCCATAAACATGGCCCGTTCCGGGACTAGGTGGGCCAGAATGGCCGTCCCTAGGACTAGGGCCAGGATTTAAGTTACCATAAACATGACCCATTCCAGGACCAGGTGGGCCAGAATGGCCGGCTCCAGGACTAGGGCCAGGATTCAAGTTACCATAAACATGACCTTCTTTGCATGGGGCCGAAGAAGCCAGGTTATTTACCTTCTTATCCATGTTGTTCAATTGTCTTCTTGCTTCAAAACATGGTGCAACACAAACTAACATAGTAACCAAAGCAATCAAAAGCATAAATATTGCAAAATGAGCCATTACTATTTGGAGAGTGATGTCCAATTAAATATTGGGAGCAAAAAGGAGAACAAAGAAGTAATGAAATGAAGGCAAAAACATGTTATTTATAGACAACAAAAAACTACCGTTTAAGAAATCTAGACTATAGTTCATTAATTAGTAATAATTGAAATTTTAAGAAAAAGAAGAGTTCTGCTTTGTGTATCCTATGAAGTGTCTTGGTGATTGGGTAGGTACAGAAGAACTAAACTAGAGAGTAATTGATAAGCAGCCGGCGTTTGCTGTTCCCATTATATAAACTTGCTTATTGGCCCTCTTGCTCTACGTACAATATTATGGTTGTGTCATGTGTGGATTATGAATATATGTTTAATTCACTTGGATGACTTGTTACGAAATCTAAGAAAATAAAATAGTTTTTTTAATCTTACATTTTAAATTAAAGTTTTTACAATATTTTACTTTCATCACATGACATGTTTAAATTCACAAAATTAAAGAATATTTTGGTATATATGACATAAATTTATCTAGCCAAATACGTTCTTTATGATTTTGTGGGTTATGATGAATATGTGTTCACTTCACTTCATTCATTCTGGCTTAGATAAAGATACTTTAGTTCTCAATTTTTTTATTAAATAAGTAACGAGAGCAAAAATTAAAACCCATTAAATTTGAGAATAAAAATGAAATATCACTCCAAAATAAAAAAGACAATTCGTGCAATAACTTTATTAGAGATCTCATATTTAAATTGTGACAACGACAAAAAGTCCTATTAAATAGTATTTTTTTCTCTTGAACAAATCTTACACAACACAAATTTAAATTAATTTAATTTAATTTTAATATAAATACCGAGCTCGAAAAACTAAAAACTAAGTTTAGAGAGAAACGAAGAGGGTCAAGAAAATGCTCATTGATCATTAAAGGCACGTGTACATATATCATATTAATAAAGTTGACTTAAGAAAACATTAAATAAGGGTAGAATGGTAAAGTTACATCATGTTTTAATGAAAGTGCAAAAGTAAAAATGTATTTCCAGGTGTTTCTTAATTGAATATTTAATGTAATTTTGAGTGTGATATATGCAGAATTTCTCCCATATATATAAAGATAATTTTAATTACTTTGTTTGGAGTGGAGATTAATTACTTTCACTACAACTTCAAATTTCATATGACACCTTCGCGTAAATTCAGGTGATGAGGATACTTGTGTATTTGGTGAAGAGGAAAACATTTTCCATCGAAAACAATTTATTTAAAAATAAGAAAACTGGCTTTTTTGAATAGCTAAAATCAAAATGTTATAGTTAAATGGAGTAGTTTTTACTTATAAATTGTATATATATAGAGAGAGTGTTTTACAAGTTAATATCTTAAAAAGTTACTCAACTTAGATAATTTATCTAGTAAAGTCATTAAACTTTATTTTGTATCAATAAAATCACTCAACTAAATTTATTATTAAAAACAATCTAATATGACAAAATAAACTATTTTTTATAACAGGTAAACATGAACCCCACTAATAAATAACTTTAAAAACTCATTAAAATTATTTTCACAGACAAACTTAATTAGTTAAACAAATAACCTTATGATACTACAATAAACAAATATACACTAATACTCTAATCAAATTCACGACGATAACTCCAAGCACACAAAATTCAACTTTATTTTCTCATTTCCAACTTTTTTTCTGGTTTCAGAAAGTTGTGAGGATTTGTAAAAAAAAAAATCTGCTGTGTTTCTGGCGAATTTCAGAATGCAATTTTTTTTTAATGCTTTTTCTATGAAATTTTGTGAAATCCTTAATTTTTTGGAATATAATACGTACTTTAACTTTTTTTCGCTAGAAATGATAATTGTAGAGCAGGAAATTCCATATGATATTATTGTAATGCCATAAGAGTATTTATTTCACTAATTAAGTTTGCCTGTAAAATTTGTTAATGAGTTTTCTTTAAATTTATTTATTTATGGAATATAATACGTACTTAACTCTTTTCGTTGGAAATGATAATTGTAGACCAGGAAATTCCATATGATATTGTTGTAATGCCATAAGAGTATTTATATCACTAATTAAGTTTCCCGTAAAATTTGTTAATGAGTTTTCTTTAAATTTATTTATTTGTGGGATTTATATTTACATGGTATATATAAAAATAATTTATTTTGTCAGGTTAGTTTATTTTTAATGATAAATTTAGTTTATTGATATAATTTTATAAAAAAACAAAGTTTAATGACTTTTCTATATAAATTCTTAAAATTGAATGAGATATTAACTCGTGTTTAATTTACTTGACCAACTAATAACTAAGTCAAATCAATAATTGACATGTTACATGTATACTATCTGAAAAATTATATCGTAAAATATTAGTCAAATTTCCTATAGTTTGTTTCTAAAAAGAAAATTATGACAATTAAAAATGGTCGGAAAGAGTAGTACCACATACAACGTTTTGTTGAGACTTTTGGAATATTTAGTCCATGCACAATATTAATAATTAGAATTACAAGTTGATTAAAATATCACATTAATTAATTAATAAGCATATATGTGCATAAACAAACTGTCACATGATATGGTACTTTTTTTTTTACATAATATTGTACTTAATATATTGCATCCTACTACTAAATAGAAGTTGCCATTTACAATGACTTCAAGTTACGATAAACATGGCCTTCTCCTGGACTAGGGCCTGAATGGCTTTCTGAGTTAACAATTTCAATACTTGAGACTGATTTCAAATTGCGATGAACATTGCCAATAGCAGGAGTTGGGACTGACTTCAAATTGCGATAAACATGGCCTTCTCCAGGACTAGGGCCTGAGTGACTTTCAGACTTAACAATTCCAATACTTGAGACTGATTTCAAATTGTGATGAACATTGCCAATAGCAGGAGTTGGGACTGACTTCAAATTGCGATAAACATGGCCTTCTCCAGGACTAGGGCCTGAATGACTTTCAGACTTAACAATTTCAATACTCGATACTGATTTCAAATTGCGATGAACATGGCTGATTCCAAGACTAGGGCGATCAAAATTACCTATTCCAGGACTGGGGACTGATTGCATATTGTGATCAAAGTTTCCAATTCCAGGACTTGGAACTGATTGCATATTGTGATCAAAATTTCCAATTCCAGGACTGGGGACTGATTTCATATTGTGATCAAAATTTCCAGTTCCAGGACTTGGAACTGATTCCATACTATGCTCAAAATTTCCAATTCCAGGACTAGGGACCGACTCCAAATTGCGATCAACATGGCGACCAACATATTGTTTTTTCGTATTTACTAATATGACGTGACCTTGTTTGCATGGGGCCGAAGAAGCCGGGTTAGTGACCTTCTTCTTATCCATGCTGTTCAATTGTTTTCTTGCTTCAAAACATGGTGCAACACAAACTAACATAATAACCAAAGCAATCAAAAACATAAATATTGCAAAACGAGCCATTACTAATATTTGTAGAGTGATGTCTAGTTCAATATTGTGAGCAAAAAGGAGATAAAAGAAGTAATGAAATGAAGAGAAGTGAGTGTATTAATAAAAAAACAAGTTATTTATAGACAACAAATTTAGTTCATTAATTTTTAAGAAAAAGAAGAGTTTTGGTTTGTGTATACATATCCTAGGAAGTGTCTTGGAAATTGGGTAGGTACAGATGAACTAAACTAGAGAGTAGTAATAAGCCGCCGGCATTTGCTGTTCCCATTATATTTGCCCTCTTGCTCTACATACAATATTTATGGTCGTTGGGATTATGATGATATATGTTCACTTCACTTTGGATGATCTAACACGAAATTAAGGGAAAAAAAATAAAAATTTAATCTTCCGTGCTTTTAACATAACTTATTTAAAACATAACTTTATCTAGTCAAATACGTTCTTTATGGTTGTGTGGATTATGATGAATATATGTTCAATTCACTTCGCTCTTAAATATTACTCCCTTCGTTCCTTTTTATATGTCATCTTTTTCTATAAATAGTTAGTCCATAATACTTGTCATTTCATAAAATCAATGCATAAATTACCATATTGTTCCTTTTTTACCCTAGTGAGTTATTAGCCTTGAAAATATACATTTGAACAACTTAGAAAAACTAAGTAAATGATTCATGTTCATTGGTTAAATAAATTAATCAAAATAAATTAATTCATATTCATTGATTGAAAACTTGAGTTTCAAAAAAATTAAATAAGGGTAGAAGGGTAAAATTACGTCATTTCTTAATGCAAGTACAAAGTAAAAAGGCGACATATAAAAAGGGACGGAGGGAGTACAACGGAATCTGAAAAATTACTACAAAATTATGTCAGGTGAGGTAAAAATTCCCTAAACTTAAACCGAACAAATTAGTTCTGGCTAGATAAAAATACTTTGGTTCACAATTTTTCTATTAGATGAACAATAGAAACCAAAACTAAAAATTGAGAATAAAAAATAAATTCACTCGCAAATAAAAACGACAATTCGTGCAAAAACTTTATTAGAGGTGTCACATTTAAATTGTGACTATGACAAATGAATCTTACCTAACATAAATTCAACCTAATTAAATTAAATTCTAATAAAAACATCGAACCTCGAAAAATTAAAAATAAGTTTTGAAAGAAACGAAGAGGGTCAAGAAAATGCACAACGTTCATTAAAGGCACGTGTATATATAATATATACAGTGAACTTGTATTTTTGAAATCTTAATTTTTAGTAATATGGTCAACATTTACCTTTCTTTTCCATCCACAAAATGCGGTTGAAACCTTCGAGTTCATGATACATGTTGTGACAAAATTGACAACGATTGACTTATTGCGTTACACGAATTAAAACAGTAGGAAAAAATATATTTTTTCTAAAAAGTATACGATTTTTTACTAATTTTTTAAATATATTTTGATATGTAAATAAAAATATTATAATATAACTATTTGTATATAATCTAAATCGGATATTATAAGCTTATAAGGATGGGGTAGAGGGTGATGGGATGGGCCGCTATAGGCAGTGGCGGAATATCCAGAAATTGCACTAAGTACATTTTTTTTTTTTGGACGAATGAGTGTATTAAAATTTTTAATAAGTAATATTAATTTTGAATTATTTAAAAAAATAACAAAAGCTCTTTTTAAAAAGTGAAAAATAAATTGTTGCTAATAAAATTCAAACACGAGCACTTTTAGTATTGACTCTTTCAATGCGTCTGAACCATTGGGCAACAACATATTGTTGTGTCAAGGGTGTCCATATTATATTATTTAATCAATTTGTGTATCATTTTACTTGTATGTACAATATTATTTTTCGACGAAGGGTGTCCAATTGAACACATTGATAACTACGTAGCTCCGCCCCTGGCCGCTATAGGAAAATCATGGCCCATAAATTGGGAGGAGACAATAATACTGAGATGTTCACTTCTAGCTCATAGCCCCTTATAGAGTCAATATGATTCAAAATATTTTCTCATGCTTTCACTAGAAAAATAATGTTCATGATTACTTTTAAAACACTTTTTTATTTAAAAATCAAAATATTTCGACCAATTGACTATAAATAAAAAAATATTTTTCTTCGTATCGAATTCGAACCTATACTAAAACAAGGACAAGAGGAGTTGCATGCATGGTTGACATTCTCGTTTTTATTGCTGACCTTTGCAAGGCAAATAAACAATGTTCCATGCGCTAAGCAAAATGGATAGTTACGTATATGACTTAATTAATTAATTAACACTCACACACTAACCAAAATGGATCAGTTACGTATTGGAGTAGTATTAAAAAAAACACTTAAGAGACAGTTGACATTTTAATTATCTAAGCAATATTTTTATAAGTAACAGTACTATGATTTAAAAAAATATTTATGCACTAACTAAAATCTTGATGAGCTTCTAAATTTCTCAAAACATTTGGATCAAAGGTCAATAATACTCTATCTGTTATAATTTGTTTGTCTTAGTTTGATTTGGCGCATAAATTTTTAAAATAATTTATTTTTTAAAATTTTATCATCTTAAATTAAATATATATACATATAATAATAAACGGAATAATCCTTTAATTTTGTGTTTTTTTCTTCCTTAATATCTCCCAAATGAGATCCAATTTCTTGACTATATAGTTCCGTGTTGAGGGGCTTTTACTAATGTATATACATACTACTATTGAATCTTGTTGATAAGCATGTTGACCCGTAGAGTATTTATCGAGCGAAATATGATGCACGTAAATTTATGATTTATTCGTAAAATTAGATGTTTATATGTATGTTTTTAGAATTGTTGTAATGTTATTTGTTGGTAGCTATGTGCTGCAAAGTTGACGGAATGATACATACATTTAATTAGTTGAATGTGGAGTTATTTATCTAGAAGAATAGAAATTAGATTCTATTTGATATTTTAATTTTATTTTTAACGAGATATTCATATTCTAGATCCGCCTCGGTGGAGTGAGTCACTAGTGTCAAAGTTGGAGAAAGTGCACAAACTTTTAGCTTTTTATTCTCATTTCGTAGAAGGAATTGAAATTCATGTTATAAGTACTGTTCATATTTTTCTCTCTTTTTGGGAAAAAAGATTCAAAGTAGAGATAGAGTATACTTTGCGTGCACACCAAAATTAAGTCACTGCGGATGATATGATGTCTCCTTAACGAACATTAATGTACATGTTTTAGTGCATTTACGAATGCGTTCAAAGATAGATTTAGAATTTAAAATACTAAATTTTACAAATTTGAAATTCTTGGACTAGAGTGTAAGTGGTAATAACTTGTCACTATTGGTACAAGGGGAGGAACGAAAAACTCTATTTTTAGTTTTTCTTTTGCTTAAATTTTAGTACCGTTTGGAGATTTAATCCTTAGAATTATGTGCCTAAGATGGTAAGGATCTTTATAGTCATATTTATTTACTGATTTTACCTCCTTCTGTAATAGTGACTATTCTATTTAATAGAATATTAAGTATTGTAGTTATAGAATTTATTCGTCCTTTTTTGACTTTTTGAAAATGACTTAAATAGCTATGTTTTCAAAGGTAAACACCCAACTGACGTAAAGGGTTTTTCAAAAATGTAAGGAAGAAGACATTTGAAAGGCTTACCACTATCTAATAGGTAATCTGGTGGTAAAATCAACTACTACACAACTATATGTCAAGTCATGAGCAATAATATCGAAATCAAGCCATCGTTTATCTATAGGCAAAGGGACGAAAGCACGACAATTGCTCTAGAAAAAAAATAAAGTAGATTAAAATTATGAAGCTACCTAGTCATACTATACAAAAAGAAAAATGCGTCATTTGCATATAGTCATGTTAATTATGGATATAGACTAGAGTACGAGGAACCCGAAAAAAAACATAAGGAAATATTTACAACTTGAGGTTCTATATATTAATGCGGAATTAGACATACATTTTTTTTTTAAATCGACTTTATGTTACTATCACCAATTGCCTAAGAGGTTTCTCATCACAAGATCACTTGTGGAGTTGTAAATTCGATCTTCACAACAAACACACTCTAATCTAAAAATGTTTGTCTCTCAAAATTTTATAGTAGAACAAAGTAACATTTAACTCCCATTTTATTAAATACCTTCATAACTCTTTTTCCATTAAACAAGAGAGTTACATGTTACTACATTCATGTGGAGAGTAACTTATTTAATAGCTCCATTAAGGGTACATTTACATTTAATTAGTTCTCCTTAACTTAACTTTGCACTAACAATGGCTCGATTAGACATGATTTGTTCCATTGCTTTGATCATTCTACTAGCCAAAATATCAATGTAGCACATGTGTGGCCCAGAACATCTATGTGCATTAATTAAAAACATGTTATATTATCATATTTTCACGCTCTTTAAAAGCTAAAATAAAATTTAATTGCAAAATAGAATTTGAATAGCAAAACTAGGCAGCAAATTTGAATGTAAGAAATGTAAATTTGTGACTTTAACTGAAATTCCAGACACTGAAAATTCTTTTTTTTTGTAAGCTAATTCAGAGTACGTTTGATGAAGGGTCACTATTACCATTCAAATATGTTTTTATCTTTTACTATACTCTAGATATACGTGAAGGTGACATGTCTGCAAATTGGTGTTTGTTCTACAATAATATCTGGACAAAAAGGAGAAGCAAAATAAATAAAAAAGGAAAAAAATAATAAAAGGATATTTAAGAATTAAAATGTCAAAAATCTTTCTATTACATTTAAAATTTCGTGCCAAATCGAACCAAGAAATTCAAATAGAGGGAGTACTTATATTCCAAAATATTTTGCTAGTTGGTCCCCTACTTTCCATTGTGTGGGTATATATATATATATTACGATAACGTCCATGCTAGTTCATATATGTTTCGTTCATAAATAGTACTATATAAATATCGAATAATTATATTCAAAGAA